ACCCCCACACACCCCCACATACCCCCACACACCCCCACACGCTCTTCCCATCTTCTTTCAGGAGCTGAAGTTCACTTCCAGGTGGACTGCACGCGGCTGCAGGAGAATCCGGCCTTGAAAGGCCGGCTGTTCGACCGGATTATATTTAATTTCCCGCACTGTGGCAGGAAGGCCGGGGTCCGAAGGAACAGGGAACTCCTAGCCAAGTTTTTCCTCAGGTGAGTGCAAAGTGACTGGATATTTTGTGGGCGAAACGCGGCAGCCAATTGCACACAGCAACGTCCCCACAAACAGCCGTGGGTTGAGTGACCACATTGTGCTTTGGGGTGATCAGGTCATCAGCAAATACAAGGATTATTATATGTATTCCACAGTGTCCTCACTGTTCAAGCCCTCCACGGCCTTGTTCTTCCCTACCTCTGCCCCCTATTAAGATCATACAAACCTGCCCACCCCACCATTGGTGGTCGGGCCTTCAGCTTCTCTGTCCCTACCCTCTGGAATCCATCCCCGAGCCCCCTCCCTGGCCTCCCCCAAAGCCCTGTCTCTTGGACCGTGCCTACAGTCGCTCTCCACCCCTCCTGATCCCAACCCCCAGCTCGGGTGCAAACCCTACACTTGTCCAGCACTTTGGGACGTCCTCCCCATGTGAAAGGCACTGCTACGTCAATGTCGTTTGTTGTTGTTGTTCAGTTGTGCAGATACATTGGCAGCGGATGGCAGTGTGACCGTTGCCCTGTGCAGCGGGCAAGGCGGGACCGCGGCTGACCTGCCAATGAGGGAGTGGCACAACAGTTGGCAGGTGGTTGCCTTGGCAGCGGAGGGGGGTCTCATTCTGACTGACGTGCTGCCGTTTGACCACACGCACTGCTCCGGCTACACCAGCACCGGCTACAGGTGATAATAATCATCATCATCATCCTCGCGTTTGACCCAAAGCCTCATCACGTCTTTGAGACGTCTCAAAGCGCTTCACAGGATACACTGTAGAGTGTAGTGACTGTGTATTTTGTGGTAATCACCAGGAAACGTATATTTTTGTGGGCGCAATGTGGCAGCCAATCGCGCACAGCGGTGTCCCACACACAGTGATGGATTGAGTGTCCAAATTATTATTATTTTCACGCCTGACCTGAAAACCAATCTCTTTGACCGCACCTTTGGGCATTCGACCCATCCCGTCCTCCGCAACCTCCGCAGCGCTCGGAGACATCGCTCCACGTCTATCCAAATGCACTTTGTGGTCAGGATATTAAGGTGAGAGCGGGTAATTGGAGTTGAGGTACAGAGCAGTCTTGATCTCGTAGAATGGCGGAACAGGCTCAAGGGGCTGAATGGCCTCCTGTTTCTATGTCTATGTAAATCATAGAATATTACAGCACAGAAGGAGGCCGTTCGGCCCATCGTGCCTGTGCCGGCTCTTTGGAAGAGCTTCCCAACCAATCCCCACTCCCCCCGCGCTCTCCCCATCTCTTTGCGAATTTTCCCTTTTCAAACACGGTCCAATTCCCCCCTCAAAGTTATGATAAAGTAGATTATTATTAAATGTTTTTGTTTGCTCGGGTTCATTTTCCAGCCTTGTAAAACTCATTGTGTTTACCCCTTTGTCTCTCTCTCTCTCTCTCTCTCTCCCTTTCACTCCCTCCCTCCCTCCCTCCCCCTCTCTCTCTCTCTCTCTCTCTCTCCATCACTCCCCCCCTCCCTCCCCCTCTCTCTCTCCCTCTCCACCTCTCTCTATTTCTTGACGTCCTCCCCAGGAGTCAAGAGAAGTCGTTCAGGCAGCAGGGAGCCCTGACCCACGTGTTCTCGCGGAGCCTCCCCCACAAACGAGCGGACCCCGGGGTCCTGGAAGCCGAGGTCGATGGCGAGAGACGCTCCTTCCTCGTCCCTGGGGAACTTGCCGACAAGATTGACAGGTGGAGCCCTCGTCTGGGGCCATAGTGCCGCTGTGTTTGGTCTCGCCGTTCCCCCCGCTTGTCGTTTCACACCCCCAAAACCGTCAGAGAGCCAGATTTCAGCCACTCTGTGTGTCCGTTTCCCCCCGACCCCATCCTCCCCCCTCTCTGCAACTCAGTTCCCGGGGTCTATCTGCCTCGGCCCCTCCTTCCCTTCCTTAAACTCAGCTTTTCTTGTGTTTTCAATCAACTTTTCACTCTTTTCCATCCACCCCCACAACCTCCACATGTCTCTCCCTGTCTCTTTCTCACTCCCACCCCCCTCCCTCCCCATTTGTTAGAGCATTTGCCTCGCAAGCGAGAGGACCCGGGTTCGATTCCCGGGCAGGACAAACCCTTAGAGAAGTTTCCTTACTCCACACACGTGGCTCTGTTTGTCAGCAGTAAATAGGAACCGGGTTGTTAGTGATTTGCGGATCACTCTCCGGGGGTAATAATCCCTTTTTAAAAAAAAATGGCTTCACACAATCCACGACTGTTTGTGGGGACGTCGCTGGGCGCAATTGTCTACCGTGTTCCGCCCACAAAACACACAGTCACTCCACTTCTGTGAAGTGCTTTGAGACGTCTCGAGGGCGTGATCAGGGGCCGTATTGAATGTGGGGATTATTAATGGTGTTATTTGTTTTTCCTGAGCCGGCGATTTGTTTTATGTGTTTGGATCTTGTCAGGAATTTCCTGGAGAAGGATTCCAAGCATCCGGTCAACGTGGTTAAGGAGCAGCTCCTGAAGGAGCTCGGGAGGAGCCTGAGCGTCTGTGAGCTGGAGAGCGAGTGCCCGCTGGTGGCTCGAGCTTGCCCTCGCTCTGTCGCCATCGACCTGGAGCCGGAGGTCGGACCGGACGCCGTGTATTTCCTTCGCGGAGCGGAGCGACTGGTCAGGAGCGAGAGACTGGATCCCGGGGACTCCGACCGCTTCCCTCTTCCCCCTGGAGCGAGCGAGGAGACGGAGAGCTACCGGCTGCGGCCCAGCCTGACCGGCCATGTGGCCGGGGTCTCGCGACGGCCTGACTTCCGGCCCGGAACGCTGTACGCGCTGAGCGGCGAGGTGTTCAGGAAGCGCCCGGTCGCGCCGCTCTCCCTGCCGGCGTTTCACCAGCTGGTGCTGGTCGGGGTGCCCAGAGACGGAGGGCTTTGCCCATCTCTGCTCGCGGGCGCCATCCAGTGCTTGACCTCCCTGCGGGGGGAGGTGACGGTCGAGCCGGGCGCCGCCGGGAAACGCTGGGACGTCTGCGTCAGAGACGAGCTGCGGCCGGACGTTCCCGAGCTGGTGGTCGGGAGTGTCACTGCCGACCGGCTTGGTGTCGCGCCTAGTGTCACCGCCCTCAACCTGGACCTCTTGGCTCTGTGGTGTTACCGCATCCCGGACTGGAGGCTGCTGTGGACCTGGGACGGGCGTTTCCTGGGGGGCTTCGTTCCGCCCGGACCCTTCTCCACCTTTTCCTTGCACCCACCCTGTTACACGCACGACCTGAGCTTCTGGGAGCCGGGGCCGGGGCCGGGGCCGGGGCGAGGCTGGGACGAGCTGGAGTTCCAGGCGCTGGTCAGGCGGGCGAGCGGTGAGGCGGTCAGGGAGGTGTTGCTGCTCGAGCGCTTTCTCCACGCCGAGAGCGGGAGAGCGAGTCGCTGTTACCGGCTGCTGTACCAGTCGTGTGACAGAGCCCTGTCTCGCCAGCGCGCGCTCGAGATCCAACTGCATCTCCGGCAGGAACTCCAAACGACTTTCAGAGTCGTTCTCCGGTAACGTGGCCCCTCCCTCGGATGAGACGTTAAACCTCACGCCCCGTCGTGTTCCGTCCCGTCCCGTCCCCACCTGTTCAAGTGGACGTTAAATTCTCCCCGTGAAGCTATACAAAAAGAGAAGGAAGTTTCCCTCCCTCTCTCCCAATGTTCTGGCCGACATTCCCCTCCCTCCCCCACCCACCCATGGATCGGTCGCTCGGTCCACGGCTGTTTGTGGGACAACAACAACACATGAAGTTTGCACGGCATCTGCTCATGTTGGGGGGGAACATCCCGCGGAGTTGGACAGTCGAGAGGTTTGGACCTGAGCTGGGGGTTACTTTTACGCAACCTGCTGCCGAGTTTCACACACGAAACACAGTCACTCCACTGTACAGTGTATCCTGTGAAGCGCTTTGAGGCGTCTCGATGAGGCGCGATATCAAATGCCCGGCTCGTTTGGCAACAACAACAACAAATGACACTCGTAGATCGCCCTCAACGTCAGAAAGACGTCCCAATTTTGTGGATTGTGTCCCAGACGCACGTCAGTCTCTTATGCACAGTGATGGGTTTCCACGTGTGCCACGTGAGAAAGGGGGAGAGGGAGAAAGAGAAAGTTAGTCAGAGGAGGAGGAGGGAGACAAAAGGAAGTGGGAGGTGGAGTCGGGTATAAAGTTAGACAAAAACAGAGAAAATATAGAAAGTCTCGGACACAGAAAGGCTTCCTCGCTGTGTACCTGGTGGGAGTGACTCCTGATTTATTGGTTGGTGCTGTGGACGGTTTGTATTTTGACCTGTGTATCTGCACAGTTTTTGTATCCACAACAACACTTTGTATTTATATAGTGCCCTTCACGAGGGGTAGCGTCCCACTGCGCTGAATTAGTGAGGGTAACGGGAGCTCTAACCGCCGCTATCCCGGCCATCAGCCCTCTGGGAAAATTTGCTGCGTAGTCGTTTGCGGGACATCTGTGAAGCGCTGCGCAAAGCAGTTGGCTCGCCTAAAGAAAACAGTCACTACACTCCACTGCAGTGGCCGAGTGAAGCGCTTTCAGGGTTTGTTGGTAGGCAATCCCGTCGTATCAAAGGGCAAAGGACTATATTAATTCTTATTAATGTCTTGTGTAAATTTGTGGTACAAATAACAATGAACAGAATCACAAAATATATATAGTTTTATATATATAGTTTACAAAATATACAGACAATTTGCTTAACAGTGTATCCTCTGCAGCGCTCTGAGACGCCTCAAAGACGTTATAAGGCGCTATATCAAATCCCAGGATTATTATTGTTGTTATAACCAGTTTCACACTTCCTC